ACCAGCGGCCTTCGCTGCAGCCTTGTGTTTCTTGGGGATATTGAAATAGTTCAGAATTGCCCACTGGGTAAAATCCTTATAGGGCACCTCTGAATCTTAACCAAAAGTAGAGGCAGGGGCAGAGCTGAGGAAGTCCTCTACCCATAGCAAAAGGTGGCCAAAGAGCCTTTCAGAGTAAGAGGGAGGGTCTCAGAGACCCCCAGGAATGTTATCCAAGGGCTACAGCTGAAAGGGGGCAGTAAAGTCATCTTTCATAAGGGGCCAAGTGTTTCTATACCATATTTACACTTGTCCCCAATCTCCATTGTAGCCACAGAGAGCATCAGATGACCAACAATGTGCTCCTGAACTTCCGCTTGTTCTGGGAAGGATGTCCCACTCGCTGACCACGGAAGATCATGCAGCGGGAGTGCAGGTCAGGAGCGCTCCGACTGACCCGTCAAGCCCTCTAACAGGCGCTGTGTGATTGGAATCTTATGAAATTACCAGTAATTTTATTTTAAAAACTCATTTTAAAAGAAGAATTGAATTATTAAAATTCTCTATAAAAAAGTACAAATAGCCCATTATATTCAGTCATTTCTAAATGAGTTAACAAATTAATTTCTTCCTTGAGGTTAAAAAAAAGTCTTTGGAACACGTGGGCTTTAGTGGAAGGTTGTTGTAAGGCTGTTTGATTACTGAGCTCGACCTACGTACGTGGTTGTTCACTGACACCTGACCACACGGGTCAGAGGCACAGGGATTGTGGTCATTCGCGGGTCAACCCTCCCAGAGTCCCTGCCGCCAAGAAGATAGCTGAATGATGAGTGACATCATTTCCAGAAGACTGTCTTCATCCATGGATAAGTTAGGTGACCTATCCTAGCTTTCCACATCTCCTAGCAGCAGAAACCCCCAGCATTCCCTAGCTGTGCTGTGTCAGGCCAAGTGGGAGGTGACAGAAATGTGGACAGTGTATTTCATAGGATGTAGGCCAGCACCTCAAGAAAAATGCTTCCGAGGACACACCTCCTTGCCCAGGTAGTGTGTAGCCACTAGTAACCAAAGTGTCCCTTTCCTTCGTTATACACCGAGACAGCCGCTGTCACAATGATCTTCACCGTCAGCAGTGGGTTGCTGGGGTCATCTCCCTCTGGGGTCCTGCCTGTTTGCCAGGGCAGACCCTCCTGCCCCGGCTGTGCTCCAGTGGAAGAGGAAATGCTGCAAAGTGTGCACCCAGAGCAGGTACCTGCTGAAGGCCAAAGCGAGAAGAGGACTGATAGGCGGTCAGGCAGTGCTGCCTTCCCGAGGCTCTCAAGAAACGCACACTCCTTCCTAGCAAAAAGCCCCAATTTCTCCTGGGAAGTACAATCAAGTGGGAAGCGCAGTGTTCATTCTTTTTGGAATTGCTTCCTCCATCCAACCTCAGGGGCCAGGATTTTTGGTGGGAACCACAGAGCCAAGTGGGCTGGGTTCTACTGGCTTCCAGGGGGATTGTGAGTTATTCCGGGATTAGAGAGGCGGGGAGCACTAGTAGTCTCAGTGATGACGTTCTTGGCATCACGTTCACGAGGACTTTCATCTTAACAAACATCTGATGGGGCGCCATCATTGGACAGTGCCTTTCCTCTACTGTAAGCACATGCTCCAGTCCTGCCCGTCTCTAAACTCCTTGCCCACATCTGCCGCCAGGGACCTCTCCCTTCTGTGAACCTCCATGGGTGGCTCTTCTGAGACCTGCACCCCTCTGCCAAGGATTCCAGCTCAGAGGTGCTCACCAAAACATTGGCTGAACTGCATTCATTTTGGCCTTTCGTGATCTTCCAAACCACCATCTCAGGCTAAGTTTCTAAATAGCTCATGTCCCCCTGGCCTTCCAAGCCAAATTCCTACCAAGCCAGTCAGATACATCTAATAAAACACGACTGACGGTGTGTCTGCATTAATTTGTGCCAGGCCCTGGAGATCAAGGAAGAGTCAATGTGCTCACGAGTGATCATTTCAGTTCCGGGGGTTCCGTTGTCTACCTACTCAATGGGTTCTTCCCTGGATGGGAACTTGCTGTTAACCCCCAGCAGCACACTCCTGATGCTTTTGTTCAGACCCAGTATCTGGTGACTTTAGAAGAAGAGATCCAGAGAGAGTGGCAGTCAGCACACCACCCGCAGCCTCAGGGGGTTGGTTCTCCCAAGCAATGGCCATCTTCCCAGGGAAATTCCCACTTGATGGTCGCAGCCCAATGGGTCCTGTGGATACTCAGCTTATTTACTCTGCTGCCATGCAGCCTGTCCCTTCACAGACGCTGGCAATTGAGACTGTGACTCGGGAAGTTGTTCACTTACGAGTCCCCTGTAACTTGACCCTTGGAAGTTGCAGCAGTTGGGAACAAGTCTTCCTTCAGTTACTTTTTTACACAATTCATACCCAGTGGGACAATTCCTTAGACTCTTCTAGTCTGTAGATGATGGGTGATAATGGTTACCCACATGATTTATTCTCATGGGCTGCTCAGATCGTCAGCTCATGGCTGTGGCTGTTATGTGCTGCTCAGTCGGTTTACAGCGACCCTATATAGGTTTTTTGAGGGGCGGCTGGTGGGTTTGAACTGCCGACCTTTCAGTTAGCAGTCCAATGCCTACTCTACAGTGCCACATCAGGATAAATGCATGTATGCATCAGCCGTTAAGTTCAGTACTTGACAACATGCAGATCCGGAGACATCACTGAGCCCCTTCCCTGTGTCCTGGGCTTACTGCTTCCCCCTAAGCTGGCTCTATGTGCTGCTATTGCTCTGGACACCAGGCTGCATGGTCAGACTCTTTCAAAATCTGCTATACATTCTGGAGGATTACAAGCCAACTGAGATGTTGAATATGCTTCCTGGAGAAACAGGAATAATTTGGAAATGTTTGGCTGTTTGAGGGAAAATCTGACCCTGGACAAGCGGGCAGTTTAGGGCCTGGAACAAACAGTCCATAACCTATGTAGCCCTCTTCTCCTGGAGCTGGGCTGGGGTCAATTCTGCGGCTCTGTCCTGGGATGGGGAACTAGCCCTTTGGTCTCTTCGGCTCTTTCTATAAATTGGTCCCATTTCCATCAGGCTGGGAGGTGTTCCTGGGGAGGAAGGCCCCCAGAGCCTTTGAGGGGGATGCATGGGGCCCTTGTTGAGTTCTGAAGACTCCAGTCCATAAAAGGTGGCAGATGGCATGGCTCTTTTCTGGTCTGACCAACCATCATTTCCCTCCACCTCTTCCTCCAAGTCAGGCTTTCCGGGAGGGTTTGGGCGCCTTTCCTCAAAGCCCCTTTGATGGTTGGATGCTGCATGGGTTTCAGGCAAACAGCCTGAGAGTGACAGTAAGGAGGTGCTTAACTGGGTGAAGCTTGGGCAGTGGGCGGACAGGGAGCCATCCTCTAGAAGGACCGATGGTTACATCTACTTTGATTCTTTGTCTCCAGGGATCCTGCATTGGATGATGGTGCGCCATGTTGGTGGATTTTCTACCAGCTGTTCTACAATCATTTTCTCAAGAGGTATCGATGCCTCTGCCTAGGAGCTGACACTAGGCTTGTCTGACACTTGACCTCCTGGGGGCAGGGGAGTGGTGATGGTTTATGCTGGAGGAGACAGTGGGTCGCTCCAGAGGCAGCAAGAGAGACAACATGCTGGTGTCTCCACACATATCCATCAAAGGCAGTCTTCCCTTCTTTCCCACCCCCAGAGTCACAGTAACGAGGCTGAAGGGAAAAGCAAAACCGACAAAACCAACACAAAGGCAAAGTTCAGCCCGGGTGCTGGGGCAAGACCACATCTGCACAAAGACCCTAAGGTGTGCTGGAAACAAGAACTTCTCCAAGGTGGAAGAGGGCCGTGGGAATCAGAATAGAAGATTCTCTCAAACATAATCCTCTCAAAAGTCTTGTCTGCAGGTAGAATCAAATGTATGAATGTATAGTAAAAGCCTGGTTGAGTCCTGTCAAGTAGCCATTCATTTCTGAGATTTGATCTATGTTAAAAAAAATTAATATATCTGATATAGTGCCAATGTGCAGGGTTATGCATGGTGGGGGTGTGGGGCACGGGGGCAGGCAAACACAGCAGCAAAGAATTAACCTAAAACTTAATCAAAAAAGCAGATTAGAAACAAGAACCGTCACAAGTATAGCACAGGTGTGTCTTATAAAATTATTATAATACTCTCTTTATACTTGATACGATTATATCAATAATATAGATTCACTTGTTATTAAGGTTTATTATAAACATGCAAAATGCATTGCATGATGCATTTGCAGAACATTAAAGCCCTTCTAGCAATAGAACACTTGCGAGTAGATGTGCATCCAGGTTCCCTGGTCTGTCATTCAACATGGACTGGACACGGGAAACAGAACCATGTGGCTCGTCATCCCTACTGGACGCCAAGGGCTGGAGAAGCAACCCGTGGGGACGGAGGCGAGAGTCAACAGTTTGATTAAGTTACTGTACATGGTACTCGCATAAACGACACTGCGGCCTATTAAATAAATAAGTACAAAAGGAGATGGGGGCGGGACGTACACTTCAGCGTCGGATGAAGGATAACAACGCAGGTAGCAAAATGTTGTGGTGTATGGGACTGGTTAGCAACACTCTTGGGTAGTGGCATCGTTACAGATGGCACCCTGGGTAACAGAATAATCTCCCGGAGATTATAATGAACAGACTGACACACTGGTTTATCCTGGATCTGATATGATTTCAACATGCTCATTTAGAAAAGTCCTTAGAAGATTTGGCCTCTTAAAAAAAAAGAAATGCAAGAATCAAGCTAGTTATCAACCAAGCAGGGGACAAAATGACAGAATTGCTGAATGTGGATCTGAAGTTTTCTTTCTTTTTTTTTTTTTTTTTTTTAAAAAAAACACAGCTAACCGCTGAGCTGGGTTTGGGTAATGGCGTGTCTAATGTAGGACTAGCATGCTAGTTCTGACTCACCAGTGGAGCTAGATGGCCCCTCCCCTCTGGGGAGCGGGGATCATTCCCACTGATGCAGAGAACAGAAGCAGCAGGTGTTTTGAACCCTCCACCCCAACCCCAATTCCTCTTTGTGCACTCTCTGGGATCCCCATTCTTTCATTCCAAAGGCTTATTAGGTGGAAATGCTTCCAGCCCCAGGGCTATAACATCTGTGGCAGGGGAATCCCAAAGATAAAAACAGACAGAAGCTACAGAAAATAGATCAAATCGTACCTTCAAAAAATAGGCAAGAGTTTGTTTACTTTCTAGAAGGGTTAACCTACAGCCAGTTAGGACGTCTCTAAAATTAGACTTGCACTTGGACTTCATCCTCCACTACAATAATGCTCCTTGGTTGTAAGAGAGGCCCTGAACAATTCAGACTAATAACCCTATAATTTTAAGGCCTCCATCTGGAACAAGAAAAAGGCCACGGCCTTAAAATTCTAGGGTTAAGGATCATTTTGTTTCCCACTGCTTGTGGGGCTGGGGGTTAGGGAGAGGCGTTCGTTCTGGTGGGAGGAGTTTCATACGGCGCTCTGTAAGATGGGGTGTACAAACTGGGGGTTGACATACGAGAACCCTTCAAAATCAGACTGGTCTATGTTAGCGATGACCAGCTGGTCAGGCGGCGTTAAGACGGGCTGCCCTCGTGTGAAGAACTTGTCGAAGTTTTCTGCTCCCTTGCCACACTGTGGAGAAAAGAGACAAAAGGAGGAACGTCCAGTCAATAACACAAACCATGGGGTGCAGCTATCTGAGAGCTCTTTGGGGGGAAGGGAACTTGCAGGCCTACTTGGTTCCAAAGCCAGGCAGAGCACACAGTAACAGAGCTGTAGTCAATAGAAAACCTTTCAATACTCACGGAACTGAGGCCCCCGGTGGAGACGCACAGTGGGTAGTAAGGTGGCAAGGAATAAACATCCGCTCAGGGAGTCCATGCCCCGACACGTGGCCAGCAGGCCTGGCTCCATGTGGAAGAGGCCAGTATGCTGCTTAAGACTACACAGAGAGCATGACCCCTCGTACCTGGTTCTTTGCCACAATATTTGCAGTAAATTGAAAGCTCTGCTATCTTTATATTCCAGTGGGAATATTCTAGAAACCCTGGCCTCCAACTTACTCTTCAATCAAGTAAGGAATGAGCATGGAGGCATGGTTGGGCAATTCCGGCCTGGGCCCACCTGGAATTCAAACATGTCTAGGTCTATCTGGTCAGCTGGTACTCAGGAGCTCACTTGCAGGGTGGCCTAGGGCTTAGGGAGGTTGGCACTGGTACCTTGGGGACACTGGGGAGGCCAGTAAGGTCTCCAGGTCCACAAGGACACTCAAATGTCGATGGAGGCCGCAGGTGGCACCTCCCAGCTCTCTGAAGTCTGGATTTACAGACTTACAGCAGCTTGAGTAGCATTTGGGAGGCCAGGCCTGGATTAAGGACAGTTCTGTCCTCGTCCCTTCACTTTTCCCAGCCACCCTGAAAGGTTGTAGCATGCTGGAGTCCTTGGGATGAGAGGGGTATACTGCACCAGGGAATGCTGGGAGTATCACTGATGGCATCGTTAACTATTGTCAGCATGTTGCAAGTTAGTACCCTTTTACCACAGGAAGGAGACGTGGTGATACAATGATGACGTGCTTGACTGTAAAGCCAAAGGTTGGTGGTTGGAACCCAGGACAAAAGACCTGGTGATCTACTTCTGTACAGATGACAATTGGGGAAACCCCATGGGGCCCTTCTACCCTGACTGTAGGGTTGCTATGAGTTGGAATCAATTCCACTGGCCCACAACCAGAGGGGTAACATGAATGAATTCTGAGTTAGCAGAAGTCTTAAACTAACAAGGCATTCCTGGATTTTACACAGGGGATACTGCCAGGTAAACTGTGAAGTGGGGTGCACTGAATCTCCTCAACTGTAAAACGGGAGACTAATCCTCCCACCCTCCTTGGCTGTTGTGAAGGCTCAGTGAGTTTCACAAGGCGAGAGCTCAGTGCACGTTGCTGTTCTTGATATGAGCCCAGTGTCCTCCGAGGAACTGTCCTTTCCCACACCCCTAGTCACAGCCCCTTCTTATCTTCCACAGGCTTTCCGGGAGAATTGGGTTCCACCCTCAGGTAATCCAATAGCACTTGCTTCTGAGCATCTGCTGGTGTGGAAAGCAAGTCATCAGTTCAAAGTCAGGTCTTTGTTGGTGAACAGCTTTCCTTCCTGAGGTGATTTTCATTTTAATCAGCAACTTCCCAGGCCCTGGTGTGGCACTGTAGGATAAGTACCGGACTGCTAACTGAGCTAAGGAGCTCTGGTAGCATAGTGGTTACGGATCATGGTCAGCAGTTCGAAACTACCAGCTGTTCTGTGGGAGAAAGATGAGGCTTTCTGCTCCCGTAAAGATTTACAGCCTTGGAAACCCTGTACAGGGTCACTA